TCTTATTTCTTAATTTCTTATTATAATATTGTTATACTCACATTAGGTACACACTATAAGGGCGGGTTGCATAAACGTCTTGTAACTACTTACAGATCTGTAAATGAAATTAGGTATTGCTTGAACGCTCGGTAAAGTTACCGGCTCTGTAAATTATCGGCTTCCGGACCTGTTAACAGCAGATCCTATTTGGGCTCTGTAATACTAGTTACAGATCGGTTAAAATATAATATAGTATTATTGTTATAATAAGATAAACAAGTTTTATGATCAATATTATCAATATTCAATAAATATTCGAAATTCAAATAGGTAAAATAGGTACGAATATGAAATAAATATTAATTTAAATAATTTACATTATTTTAATTATTATTAATTATTTCTAAATAATATAATATTGTTAAATTCGATTATTTGGTGCGATAGCTGAAACCAAATTATCTTTATTTCTGAATAATATGATACTGTTATTTATTCGATTTGACACGGGACGGAATTGGTATATCTATTTAAAAAATCCAGGACGGAACTAGTATATCTTAAAATTACATTTTTATATTTGGGACGGAACTCGGATGCAGCTGATTTTAAAAAACCTCGCGAGTTGGCCACTGTAAAAAAATAACGTTAAATGAGTTTGGCAGGTATTAGGTATACGCTACACGTTTTGATATGGTTATGGGTACGAGCAGTACCGTGCTAACCATCAGTGGCACCCTAGGGAAATAAATTTGGCGCCCCTAATCTCAAATGGTCGTAAGAKAGGGGAGGGGGCATTAGACATTTTCCTAAAGCCCCCCAAAAATCGAAACTATTCAAAATGTTATTATTATCCGGTCACTTAACATTGAATTATTTATATTTATAATAATTAATAAATTAACAAGTAAAACAACTCAATAAACAATGAATTTAGTTAGGAGACAGTAAGAATAAATGTATAAAAACATGAATAACAACAACATTTTTTTTTATCATAATATTGAATAACGATTTTATAAATAACTTTATACAAATGTTTTTTTTCTAGCTTTAAGTTTTGAGAATTTTTAACAAGACTTGTCCAACTGATATTCTTGACAATTTCATTTTCAATACATAATATTGATAATGCTGATGTTTCATCATTTGATAATGATGAACGTAAATAGTTTTTGACTCTCTTCAAAACAGAAAAGGACCTTTCTCCACTGGCATTAGAACATAGCATACAAATAAATAATTTGAAAGCAATTTCAACATTAGGAAAAGATGTGTTTAATGATGGATTATTATTTTTTTTATTTATTAATTACCCGTTTAGCACGGACTAAAAGATATATCTTAGTCCGTGCCGTTTAGTCACCCGCCCCCGCCGCCACCCATAGGTCAACAAGCCAGTGTAGGCACACACACCAGTCCATAATCATAAATTACAATTTACAACACATTTTTCATAGATAAAATATTTTATCTTAAAATAGATAGTAGATATTTCAATTTTTGTGGCCGTGGCGAATTTGGAGTATAAACTAATGGAAAAGTACCATCTTTTTTGCCGCCCTATAAAATATTGCTACTTTTGCCGCCCTGGGGCACTTGCCCTAATTTCCCCCCCCCCCTTTGCACGGCGCTGGGTACGAGTATAATATCGTATAACTATATATATATATTGTACATTTGTATAATTATATCACGTGTGATAATATCATTTATTTAGTGAAAATTAGTCCAACGGAAAAATGTGTTTAATATGTGATAGGTATTAATTGGATTTCGATATTATATCGTAGATACTTTAATTATTGTCTATAGTTAAGAGCCGATAAAATATTTTATATTCATGTAATAATATTATTATACAGTATACACTATACACCTACGTCCTACATACGTACGTATTATGTATAAGGTATGAATATGAGTATCAGAGTATGACATTAAATATTCGGATTGGATTCCGCCGAAAACGATTTAGTTCCATACATAATACCATTGATTATAAATCACCTATATAATTTCAGTACAAAATGTTGCGTATGTTGCATGTATCACACCAATTATTGCAGTAGGTATCCATCAATGAAAATCAATTTATTTAAACGCGGGATTTTATACAGTAATTAATAAGCAAATTATCAAATTAATCAGTTATACCTACTTCAAAAACAAATTGTGAAGTGAATAAAATTTAAATTTAAAATTAATCCATTTGTTGAAAAAACAGTATGGTCATCTTTCAATAATAATACCAAAAAAATTTTTTTTTTTTTTACTAGGTTTTAGAGTAACTATGATAGCTCAACAATTATCAAAATATTACAAAGATAATTAAAACATACATTACAAATAAATAATATTCGTGAAACATTGTGATTTAGATGATAATGAATAATGATAGAGTGCTATATAAAATAATAATGATTCGAAAACCCATTAAAATGTACAGTTGTAGATAGTGTATACGACAATTAAAACAAGTTTCGGTTTCTGAATAAAAATACAATTCACACGATCTCAAGGCGTCCACGGTTTACATTTTACAAGAATATCATAATCTTTGTGGATATAGTCGCACGTTCGTGATCGGGATATAAAATTAGCAAAACATTGCTGGAGCCGACTATTACCAATCATTGTCAATAAATATATGGTGTCTATAATTGATAATCAATGCTATTAAATAGTAAAACCATATGAGTTTGACCTTGTGAAATGTGGAGATTTCATTAAGTTAAGCGTTTAGGATATTTATCTCGATAATGAATACCTAATTTTACGCAATTTCCATGTTTATCCGACTCGATCCATCTACGTGCATACCTATATAATTTATTCACTAAACACAGCGTTGGCTGTAATTCAAATTCGTAGATCACTTGGTCAATCATTTTACGCAATCATTGATAAATGTGTTCATTAGCGTTTATATAATTTGACCAAATAAATTCCTAGTATTATATAGAACATTACAGCTATGTAATTTTCAAACAAATTAAGCTTTTAGTCCCTAGAGTCCCGTCACATTGACATTAACTATATACCTGATCATGGGTACGTATATTTATTTTTTAAGCAAAGAATTCAAGTTTTAGCGTGCAGTAGGTCATACATAGACACAGAAATACCATGCACAATCGAACTGAACTTAGCGGCAAATTTCAATCGAAAGCCTTAATAGTGGTCTATCTTAGCTTTATGCCATTTATCTATGACAAATCAAATAATAAGGTGTGGATACAAAGCTAATGGAGAAACATTTTTTATTTTTGAAAATGTCAAGGACATCATGACATTTATTGTTGATAGTTTTCACACTATAATACTATACTATACTATAATACTTCTCAATAAGCATTTTTGGGCATTTTATATCAATGACCTTTTTTATAAAGTTTTTATAAGTAAGCCCAAGTTTTCTATATGGTCACAAAATTGTTTTGGTATTAATCAAATTCATCTGAAAACTGTAAATACTAATTTAGATTTGTCTTAGTAAAATGTAGGAATCATTTAAAAATTTACCATTATTATAAATACTTTACAATTACGTTCCAGATCACAATTCACAATCGTATCTTAATTTTTGTATCGTTAAATTAATAAGCTTAACAGCAATAAATAATATGCATATGCAAGGCCGTATATGGGGGGGGTAGGGGTTCAA